TTAAAAAAAAAAAAAAGCATAGTGAATACTGGAGAATTCCCAGAGTTCAAGGACCAGAATTAAGGTTCAGGGTGCTGAGCCTGACTGGGCTCTTCTCAGCAGCTGCTGGGTTTTAGAAATCAGTAATAACAGCAACAATAATTCACCTTAATAACAGCCTGGCCTCCTCTTTCATCTGCGTAACTCCCAGAGCTGGGAAAATGGTAATTATTGAGCAGGTGCCACGCCCCAATGATGATGCATGATCAATCCAGGAACACTGGCTAGGAAATTGAGGCCCAAGGAGAAAGATTTCCCCTCACACAAAGCTATAGACATAGGCGCCGAGGGCTGCTGGGCGGTGCAGGGTGTGCATGCCAGTTCTAAACCTGCTGTGTTTTGGGAAAGTGCTGAAGACAGGGGCACTCATTCCAGAGTCCCCCAGACTTGGGTTTGGGCAGAAGGTGAGGAAAGACCCAGATACGTGTCCCGAGCCCCCTCGTAGGCTGTGGCAGGCCTGGTGGGTAGCCCTGGCTGGGAGTCAAGGCCTCTGTTCTTGCGCCCATGCCCCACCCTCCCAGAGAATCACAAAGCAGGCAGACAGCTGCCTCGGGGATCTCCACCGCCTCTACAGTATGCTCCGGAGCCACAGGGTAAGTAAGTGCTCAGCCCTGGGAACAGCCCCATGCCATAGGCACAGTCCATGAAGTGGGAGTGGGGGACATCTTATAGCCAGGTAGGCAGATCAGATCAAGAAGAGTCAAGAAATGGGGGAGACTGCTTCTTGGGGACCCCAGCCCATCTCTGTAGCCCGCTTCCATTCTTGGTACTGATCCTAAATAAAGAGATCCTTCCTACAGCAAGGCCTGTCTGGCCAGTGCCGTAGAAACCCGCAGGGGAGGTCCAGTTGGCATATACCCTCCAAGAGGGCAGAGGAGGGTGGAAAGCATCCTAAGAGACCAAAGACCTTTTCCTACTGTGTCCATGGAGGAAAGCAGTAGAGACTCAAACTAGGAGGGAAGGGTAAAGATGGAGGCATTGCAAATGCAGGTCCATCCACAGCCTGCTGTGTGCCTGGTACTGTGACAGACGCCGGGACAGACAAAATCTAAGCTCCTGAGAAACCGCAAGGGCCAAGACAGACAGCAACCAATGACCTTGTCCTCCAACCCTCCAGGACAGTGTGTGGGGGAAAATATTTCAGGTCTTGTTCTCAGGGATTTGAAGTTGTTTTTCCTCAGCATGTTACAAAGCTGACCAGAGTCCCCTGGGGGTTCCTGCAATAACATTGTGACTCTCCGAAGGCCCAGCTTTCTGCTATCTCAGGTTCAAGAACTGGCCCTCTCCGCTTTAAATCCAGCCATGCTACCTCGTGCCTAAAACATTAAGGCAGAATGGGACCACGTAAAACTACAAGGCAGAATCAGGAGTCCTGCCTCTGACACTCACCACAGCATGAATCACTTCCCCCTCTGGACTTCAGTTTGCCCATTTTTAACACGAGGGCGTTGGACTAGACTGTCTCTAGGATTCCTTCCAGCCTATGCCGTGTTGTTTTGATGTAGTGGCAGATCCCAGATTGATTTACATAAATTTGCATGTTCAATCAGAAATCCCAAACTCCAAGTATAGAAAATCCAATCGGTCCATTAATGCAGCCAGACTGGGGCTGGGGGAACCTGCCAGGTTGAGGTGAGGGGTGTTAAAGGAGACAGCAGGAGCGGTGGTGAATTGGGGGAGGGGCTGAGGGAAGCAGGAGCTAGAAAGGGCACTTGTTTTGAGAGATGCAGCTATGGTGACCTGGGCATGATGAATGGCACCAGGAACCCCACTTCAGTTGTCAGGCAAGGGCCCTTTTTCCTCCTGCTTCTAACGAGGCCTCTGGCTGGCCAGCCTCAGAGCCACACCCCAAGAAGGAACAGCAGCTTCTGCCTAGTAACAGCTGCATCTTTCAGTCTGACAGGGACTCCAGCATTAGCCACTTTCTGGGAAACTGACCTCCCTGGGAGCTTCCATTATCCATTCCAAAGGCTCACAGCAGTAAGGAAGGCTTCCTTGGGGTTTAACCTAAACACCTCCTGCTGCAGCTTTGCCCTTATAGGCAGCAGGGTCCAGGGCAGAGGGCTCCCCAGGCCCAGGAGAGCAGGGGGAAAAGCAACGCAGGGAGAATATGTCCCCTACATGACCAAATCCAGGGCTTCTTTAATCACCGCCTCTCCTTCAACACTCCCCTTCACCTGGGAGACCAAGGATGAAAACAAACAAGAAGAACTTCAAGACCTTTGGCTCTTGGGCTGGAAAGCAAGTCCCAACCTGGAGAGCCCAACTCCTGACAAAATCCTAACCCCAGGAGGGAAGGGGCTGGAAAAGGTGGGGTGGGGGTGGCTTCTCACTGCAGCTGCTGGGCTGGTATAGCAGGGCCTGGGAGGCTGGCTGGGCTGGATGAGCATGGTGGAGAAGATTCCTTAGCCCCTTGCCTGGGACCTGGGGGTGTGAGTACAGCAGTGAGATAGGCAGGGCTGGGGGTGGGTGGGCAAAGGCAGTGGGGCCCTCCTTGCCCTCCTCCTATAAGAGAGCGGGTGGGTGAGTGTGCTGTGCTCCCTGGCCCAGATCCTAAAACAAGTCCCAACAGCTGAGATGTAAACTGTCTCCTGGGAATCTGCTTACCCTGCTGGCCCTTGGCTGCCTCCTCCTCTCTCAGCCCTTCTTCAAAGGGCTGGGATGTCTCACCACAGGCCGTGATGGGTGGGCCAAACCCAAGCCAGGAGGAGCAGGAGTTCATATCCCAAGGCACCAGGGGTGTGTGGAACAAAGACTGTCAGGCGTAGAATAAGGGAATCTGTACTCTCTATCCAGGGTTCTCATCCTAGGTAATTGTGAATTTAAAGCACATCCAACACTTCAGCTCTATCTAAATGGAACCATTCTGCCAGAGAGATCTGATCTTTCTCCCCTATGGACTCACTCATCAGTGGAACCATTCAATGTCAAAAGATGGAAGGGAATATTAGAGCTTTCTAATCAAACTGCTGAGTTTTAAAGATGGGGAAACTGAGCCCCGAGAGCAAACTGTCTTGACCAAGGTCACTCAGCAAGGCAAGAAGAGTAGGGACCAGAGCTTCTGACTCTGCCTTTATTGATAGCAGCTTTGTCCCCATACACTTAGGTTTTCACCGGCCTATCATGAAGATCCTTCTTCCCTTCCATCCACAGTACCTGCCTCTCCAGGTCCTCACTCTCTTCCTGAGGGCTAGAGTCAGAGAAAGATGCTAGAGGGCCGAAGCCACCTCATGCACAGACCACAGACTTTGAAAACAAGCTTGAATATATGGGAATGTCTCCTCAGACAGGAATACACATGGTTTCTTTGGGATAGGAAATCCATTAACCCCAGGTTGTTTTTAGGAAGATGGGGGACCAATTTGAGAAGTGAATTTTCCTGTCACACAAGGAGTCTCAGAGAGCCAGGTGGTGTCATGTCTGCAAGGGAGGGTCTGCAACAACGCAAATGGGCTAGGTTCATTTTCCCCAAAAGTACTGACCATAAAACGGTTAGGCATTGACATCTCTACCGCTCTCCAGGACCACTCCTGCCCGGGGCCAATTCCTCCGGCTGACCATTGTGCTTAAGCAGGAGGACCCATGAAGGAGAAGTGGGAGGGAGGGATTGCCTCTACAGCCAGAGAACTCCTTAGCCCAAGACCCCTAGCTCCTCAGCAAGGCAGGCCTTTAAGAAGTGGCAGCTGGATAGACTAAGTGGGCTCGGCTGATCCAGGCTGGGGATGCCTGGAAAACTAGGCCTATGGGAGGTGAAGACCCTCTGTGCCCTTGGGGCCGTGCCAGAACTGAAGATAACTAGGGCCTTGGGCCCAGGACAAGGAGAGGGGAGCTAGGGTCCGGGCAGCCGCTTTCTTAGTCGGGCTAAGCCAGGGGAGCGTCGGGCACAGATGAATTCTCCGCATTCTTCTGGCACCTCAGCCAGCACCCGGAGGGCCTTTTCTGCAGGCGCTGCCCTGTCCCTACTCCCTGCCCAACCAACCCTTCTCCCTCCCTTAGCTTCTCTTTAGCATGCAGCCCGCCTGGTCATTCCTTCTTTTCGCAGCCCCTCAAAGCCTCAGAAGGGCCGTTCTCTCGGAGACCGGGTCTTTCCGCCTCTCCCCGCCTTCCCCACGCCCTACCGCCCCAGGCCACGGGGACTGGAAGGAGTGCGAAAGGGAGCCCCAGGCTCGTCTCCGCGCCTGCGCTTTGGGGAGACAGCCCCTCCCCCCGCAATAACCCGGCACCGCTAAGCGGCACCCGGACGGTGGGATGCGGGTGGGGTCGGGTGAGCAGTTGGGGCAAGGTCAGTGCTTTCAAAGAGGGAGGGAGCCCGGCCCCCGGAACATCCCCCACTCCCGAAAGTTTCTCTTCCGGGGCCACGGAGTGTGCGCAAGGATGGCGCGGGGGGCGGGAGGGGGTGGGGTGGGGGTGCACAGAGTCGCTGCCGGACCCCCGGGGAGGGTGCGACGGGAGGGAGGGAGGGACGGGGCAGCAGGGTCTGGGCAGGAAGCTGCGACGCCCTCTCCGACCCTGTACTGCCACGAGAGACTTACCCTCCACACCCCACTCCCCCCGGCCCGGAGCTACGGATCCCCCCCGCACTCGCCGCCCTTTCAATCCCAAGTAGACCCAGAACTCACCGAAATCAGGTGTTGAGCTGGGCCAGGGCAGGCCGGATCCGCCAGGTCCATGGCCATGAACTGGGGGCGGGGGGCAGAGAAAGGGGGGTGCCGGAGCCGCCTCCTGATGTCAAGGCTTTAAAGGGGCCGGGGAGCCCCGCCCCTCGCACTGACCCCGCCTCCCTCCTCCCGAGCAGCCAATCCACGTTCACCCTTGATGCGCGCCCCTCCCAGCCCCCTCCAGATGTTCCCAGGGCGCGAGCTAAGTCTGCCTGGCCGGCGCGCGCCGCTTCCGCTCCGGTGGGAAGGACCTCCCTTCCCCCCTATAGAAACACTTTCTCCAGGCCGGGGCAGGCCGGGCCTGGTAAACCTCAGCAGTGCCTGGGTAGAGGACGCCGGGCTGGGCCGCGCGGGGGTGGAATGAGGGCGTCTAGAACAGAGAAAACTAAGTAGGTGCGTTCGGGCCCACGGGCATGCGCGTTTGCTTTTGTGGGGCTGGGCGTGCACGTGTATGTGTGGTTGTGAGCGTCGGTGTTTGTAATTTGCCTTTCTGCATACGTGTTGGGTGTAAATCCATGGGGAAAGGCTTGAGTGCCTTTTTGGCCTTAAATGCTCCCGCCTCTCTCCCTCCTCCAGGATGGGGTTGTCCCCCGGTAATCTGGAAAACAGTGGTAGGAACAGGGCCCACTCATCAGAGAGCAGTGCTGGCCGTTTCCTCACTGGTTTAGGAGGAGGGAAGGCTGGGCAGAGAAAGGCTACAACCTTGTTCTCAACCATTTGCTATCTCGGTGGGGATGAGGAAAAGCAAACAGCCCATCCAGGCCCCTGCAGACCTCAGAGCTTTCAATATCATTCCCATTAGTCCTTAATTAAACACCTATTTGCCCTTGCCTGGATACCGCATCTCACAACCCTTACAACCTGCATCGTAGTGACTGCCCCAGAAATGTAGGTTCTCAACTGGGTTCTGCAGGGAAATACGTTGGAATCCCTAGGCACAGTCTCTGCCCAATTCATTAAAATTTCTTTTGTTGTGGGTATACAAAGGATGCGGCTTAGAGTATCATATTAGCCCAATAAAGGAACATAAAAAATAAAGGAATTTAGGGTGCACAAATTGGCTAGGATTAAGAGTTCTTTTCTGAAGGAGGCTTATTTAAAATGGGATTTGAAGGGCAGAGAGAACTTGAATAGGGTCCAGGCAGGGTAAAGGGCACAAGGAGACTCAGGCAGGAAAGAGCAGATTGTCTGCATGGGATAGTGATAGGTAGTGGTAGGTTGGGAAGCCAGACAAGTTAACGGAGGAGGTTTCCTATGGAGGAGAGCAGAATGAGACTATGGATGTGACAAGACATGCGGTAAAGAAGTCATTTTGGCTTCCTGAGCATAGAGTAGTTTGATGAAAAGAGTTGCCCAAGGACAGCCATTATTGGAACCTAAAAGATGTCTTGATGGTTGATGGTTACTCCCACCAGCTGTCTCATCTTATTGCTTAAAAAATTTTTTTTATTCCTTTTTTTTTTTTTTTTTTTCTGAGACAGAGTCTTACTCTATTGTGTAGGCTGGATGGAGTGCAGTGGCACGATCTCTGCTCACTGCAACCTCTGCCTCCTGATTTCAAGGGCTTCTCCTGCTTCAGCCTCCCAAGTAGCTGGGATTACAAGCGTGCACCACCACGCCTGGCTAATTTTTGTATTTTTAATAGAGATGGGGTTTCACCGTGTTGGCCAGGCTGGTCACTCCTGACCTCAGGTGATCCACCCAGCTTGGCCTCCCAAAGTGCTAGGATTACAGACATGAGCCACCATGCCCGGCCCTTAAATTATTCTTAACATGCAATAAAATGCACACATCTTAGGTGCTTTGTTTGGTGAATTTCAAAATATACACCTATGTAATTAACACCCAAAGCAAGATACTGAACTGTCATCCTAGAAAGTTCCCTCATTTATAGTTGATCACCCCACACCCATCACCACCCTCCCCTAGCAACTTCCTGAATATCACCATAGATTTGTCTGCACTTGTATTTCACATATATGGTATGTACTCTTCCATGTCTGTATCCTTTAGCTTAGTAATGTTTTTGAGATCCATCCATGCGTATCAGAAGTCAATTCTTTTTTATTGCTGAGCAATATTCCATTGTATGAATATATTACAATTTATCCATTCTTTAATTGATGGATATTTGGGTATTTCCAGCTGGGGTTATGATGACTATGGCTGCCATTAACATTCTGGTGCAAATATTTTCATAGACATGTTTTCATTTCTCCTTTTCACCTTATTTCTTGATGCTAGTGACATCTTTGGAAGCCTACGGCATTGTGAATTCTTATTTAATTATCTAACATTTATTGAATAGGGATCAGTGGGCTAGTTCTGGGATTACAACAAAAAGTAGACATGGTCCTTTCCTCAAAGGGCTTGAAAGTCCAATAAAACTCCATGTACCTGTTGTCCATGTCCGTGTCCTAATATTGCCTTGTATTCCTAATTTCTGCCTTGAGGTAGAAAACCTTAAAAGTCTGCCAGGAATTTCTAACTACTTTTGGATGTTTCCAAATAACTGAATTATTGGAAATTAACAGAACATCAAGATAATACTCTACTCTTCTTTTCTTTTCTTTTTTTTTTTTTTTCTTTTTGAGGCAGAGTCTGTCACCCAGGCTGGAGTGCAGTGGCACAGTCTTGGCTCCCTGCAAGCTCTGCCTCCCAAGTTCAAATGATTCTCCTGCCTCAGCCTACCAGCTGAGATTACAGGTGTGCACCATCACATCAGCTAATTTTTGTATTTTCAAAGTACTGATGTTAGCAGTGATGTTAGAAATGAGTTTTCACCATGTTGCCTAGGCTGATCTTGAACTCCTGACCTCAGGTGATCTGCCCATCTCAGCCTCCCAAAGTGCTGGGATTACAGGCATGAGCCTCTGCGCCCAGCCAATATTTTACTGTTCATTTAGATGTTTGCCCTTGTTTAATAAACACAGCCAGAACACCTGCGCTCCTTCCATAAAGGCTATTGTGCACTTGATAATTTAGGCATTCAGATTTTGGCAGATTTTCTATGCTTCACAAACCTTCATCCTCACTGATAGAGGTTGAAAGAAATATAGCTACTATTGTTCCAAGATTCCTTTCAGTCTTTTGATGAGGCTTAAGACACTTTTATTCCTCAGTGCTATTATTTGCATAAATTAAAAATTACACGGAAGTACCAAAGTTTGTTCTTCACACTTGTGAAATACCACTAATCATATATCATTATTTACTTGAGTTGTCTGTGTAACAAAACAAGCTAGGCCTCTTAGGTCTCTGGTAGCTAAAAGCTGTTACCACTGGTTTAGTAACAAACTAGTTTGGTGGTATAGTCTAACTATGCATGTAGTGCTGATGCCTGGTAGATGGAATCTCAGAGAACCACCTCATCACTGCTGACATCAGTACTTTGAATTCAGGTTCCCTGCTTTAATACTCTGTGGTCATTCATTTAATGTTGGAGCATCTTCAATTCTCAGAGGTTGACACTTTAGCCATTTAGCCATTGGTTGATAAACTGACTCTAGTTTAGAATTTCTGGCAACAAGAGATAGTAAGGCTGGTAACTAGCCTCTCAAAACATTTTTTCTTTTTTTTCCAGATAGGGTCTTTCTGTGTCACCCAGATTGGAGTGCAGTGGTGTGATCACAGCTCACTGCAGCCATGATTTCCAGGCGCAAGTGAGCCCCCACCAAATAGCTGGGACTGCAAGTGCGCACCACCATACCCTGCTAATTTTTTCATTTTTTTTTAGAGACAGGGTCTCACTGTATTGCTCAGGCTGGTCTTGAACTCCTAAGATCAAGCTATCCTCCCACCTTGGCCTCCCAAAGTGCTGGGATTATAAGTGTGAGCGACCATGCCCAACCTCATAACATTTTTGTAACCTGGCTTGTTTTCCAGGTTGGATGGACTCTGAGTGCAATCTTGATGTCTTTCCTGCTCAGTAAGAGGAAGAAAGGCGCTGCTGGCTAATGTTTGGACTACTTGCTGGATAGGAACAGATCTTTACTGCTGCATGTACATAATTCTGTACGGAACAGTCATGTTCCTGGATTCTGACTGCAGCATCGTCAGTATGTGCTTTGAAACCTACCTGGCACAAATACGATGAATCTGCTCATACCCTTTAACCTCTTTTTCATCACTTTTCATCATTCAAAAATTTTAATTGAGTCTATATGCTAAGCACTGAACATAAAGTATTAGATAACTTGTATATAGTTCATGTGGGGTATGATAAATTGAGACTGGAAAGGTAAGCAGTGGGTAGATCATCCTTTATCCTAAGAGCAGTGTAGCCTTTGAATGGTTTTAAGCAGGAGGGTAGCATATCAGATTTGCATTTTAGATCAGTGTGTTTGCAGTGTGGACAATAGAGAGAGCAACAGTGAAGTCAGGGAGGCTAGGCAAGGTTTTTGTAGTACCTGAGGAGAAAAATGAGAAATGATGTGGGCTGGACTAGGAAAGTGATAGTGGTGATGGAGAGAACATTGAAATGCCCAGGGGGCATCCTAGTAGAAACATCTCTCCAAGTCATCAGAACTTCCCAACTGTGTGCCTCAGGGAAGAGGTTATGGTGGTGCTGCATACTGGACTTTGCAATTCTCAGGGCAGCACAAGCTCCCTGAATCAGAGAGCAATCTTGGTTATGCCAGATTGCATTATCCGGCATATGAAACACCATGATTTTCTATGTGTGTACTGACACGGAAAAAGTTGGGAAGCACTGATGTAGGCTGTGGGATAGATAATTCTGAAGCTCAGGAGAGGAATCAGAGAAGATGATGATAGAGAAGAGCTTTGTGAGTCCTCAGGACATTGGTGGTCACTGAACTCATGCAGTTGAGGAGATCATGCAAGGAGAGAAAAGAAAGGCTGGAACAGAACCCCAAGGAACATCAGCCTTAGCGGGGCATCTCCAGAGAAGAAGGAAAAAAACTGAATGAATGCTGTCCCCCAGAACCCAAGAAAGGGATTTAAAAAAAAAAGGACCAAATACAGTCGGTCCTTCTTATTGGTGGTTTCCACATTCATGCACTCAACCAACCTCAGATCAGAAAAAATAAAAAAATAAAAACTACATCTCTCTGAAGACTAGATCAGAAAAAAAAAAAAAAAAAACTACAGCAACAAAAATACAAAATTTAAAAAATTTAGTGTTAACTATTTACATAGTATTTACAAGATATTCGGTATTATAAGTAATCTAGAGATGATTTAAAATATATGGGAGAATACCCCTAGGTTATTTACCATTTTAGGTCAGGGACTTAAGCATCCTTTGATTTTGGTATCCTTGGGGGGTCCTGGAACCTATTCCCCATGAATAGGAAGGGATGATATTTTGGTCCCAATGTTGCTGAATCAATTTGGATCAGGACAGAGACATCCCCACTGACTCTGGCCATATGTCGTTGGAGACTTTGATAAAACCAGATTTTATTTGTTTATTTATTTAAAATAGAAATGGGATCTCACTCCATTGCCCAGGCTGTTCTCGAACTCCTGGGCTCAAGCCGTCCTCCCATCTTGACCTTCCTAAGTGCTTGGATTACATGCGTGAGCCACCATGCCTGACCTGGCAAAACCAGATTTTGAAGGATTGAGAAAGATTTACAAAGTAAGGAATGGAGACAGAAGGCGATTTAAACTTTTCTGGGCCAGGTGCAGTGGTTCATGCCTATAATTCCACACCTTGGGAGGCTGAGATGGGCGGATCACAAGGTCAGGAGATCAAGACCATCCTGGCTAACACGGTGAAACTCCGTCTCTGCTAAAAAATGCAAAAAATTAGCCAGGCTTGGTGGCACACACCTGTAGTCCCAGCTACTTGGAAGGCTGAGGCAGGAGAATCGCTTGAACCCAGGAGGTGGAGGTTGCAGTGAGCTGAGATTGCGCCACTGCACTCCAGCCTGGGCGACAGAGTGACTCCATCTCAAAAAAAAGAACTTTTCTAAGATTTTGGCTGTGCTATGAAGGAAAAATTAGACAGATGGGTGGTACAGTGAGAGTTATTTTAGAAAAACACTGCCTAATTTTTAAAATTATTCATTTTAGTTTTTAAAAGTAGTATATCCATATGGTTTAATAATCATTACAGAAGTAAATTATTTGCTGCATTTCTTACCTCCAGCAATGAGCCATTTTAACTTTTTGGCTGATTCTTCTATATGACTAAATATTCTTATACTGCCATTCTTTTTTTTTTTTTCCTTTATTACCTTCTACATGTTATTTTTTATTTTTATTTTTTTTGAGACAGTGTCTCACTCTGCTGTCCAGGCTGGAGTGCAGTGGCATGATCTCAGCTCACTGCAACCTCCACCTTCCAGGCTCAAGCAATCCTCCTACCTTGGCTTCCCGAGTAGCTAGGACTATAGGCACATGCCACCATGTTCAGCTAATTTTTAAATTTTTTTTGGTAGAGATGAAGTCTCATTGTATTACCCAGGCTGGTCTGTAACTCCTGGGCTCAAGTAATTTTCCCGACTTGGCCTCCCAAAGTGTTGGGATTACAGGCTAACTGCCACAGATGTGAAATACAGTGGTTCCATCAGAACAGGTCAGGTTCGGATACTGAAGCATCTCCCAAAGCTTTTAGTTATAGAGGATTTTTTTTCTTTTTAAGACAGTTTCTCTCTTACCCAGGCTGGAGTGCAGTGGCATGATCTCGGCTTACTGCAACCTCAAGTGATCTGGACTCAAGAGATCCTCCACCTCAGCCTCCCAAGTTGCTGGGACTACAGGTACATGCCACCACTCCCAGCTAATTTTTTGGTATTTTTTTCAGATTCAGGGTTTTGCCATGTTGCCCAGGCTGGTCTCGAACTGCTGAGCTCAAGTGATCCACCTGCCTCAGCCTCCCAGTGTTGGGATTACAGGTGTGAGCCACTGCACTTGGCAATTTCTTAATTAGCCATGTTGGACAAAGCCCATATGTATCCTTCTGGCCACTGAGGTTATTTTCTGTCATCAAGGAATTATCTGGGAAAGGCGCCACTAGCTTTGTAAGCCAGTCTCACTGCAGTCAGAGCCCATGAAGTTTTGTAGTGCTGCTTTAAGAAATCACCACAAACTTAGTAGTTTAAAATACTGATTTATCCTTACAGTTCTGGAGATCAGAATTCTAAAATCAAGGTGTTGGCAGGGCTTTTCCTTCTGGATGCTCCAGGGAAGAATATTATTTCCTTACCTTTTCTAACTTCTAGAAGCCACCTGCATTCCTTGACTTGCAGCCCTTCTTCACATCACTCCAACCTCTTGCTCTTGTCATTACATCTCCTACTGTGGTCACATCTCCCTCTGCCTCCCTATTATAAGAACACTGATTAATTCATTTAGGGTCTATTCTGATCATCCACATTAATCTTCCTATCTCAAGATCCTTAATCTCATTTGCAAAGTCCCTTTGCTGTCTAAGGGAAAATTCACAGGTTCCAGGGATTAGGAGGTGGACATCTCGGAGGACCTTTCAGCCTACCACAGCCCCACAATATGTTTCTGTGCACTGCCTTGGTGAAGAGTGATAGGAGAGAGCATCCAGCAGGGCTACAAGGTTTCAGAGCGTTCCTAAATTAAGATCTTGTAGGCAAATTCAGCTCTGTAACTACTGTGATAACTGAGACCATCATAACTGGCCTCGTTTCCATTAGCTCCGTATCCCTCACTCCCAACACTGCTTCCTTTAAAATGCTCTGTAGCACTGAAGCTGTACTCCTTATTACTTCATCATCCTGAAAAACAAGCTATCAGAGATAGTAAGATGCATGTTTTCTACCAGGTGAGATGTTTTTCTCATAAGCCTCTGGTCTAACAAGTGCAGTGGTGGTCTGCAGCATGCTCACACAGTATAATACCACCTTATTTTTCTTTATCACTCTAAATTCTGCAAAATACCTTCACATCCTTTAGCTCATTTGGGCATAGGAAAAGGAAGGTGGTGTTATTTCAGTTGTACAGATGAGTAAACTGTGGCTGTAAGGCAGGGAATGGATGGGAGGGTAGATGACTTTTAATATAGGAACCCCTACCAGGCACCAGCCACATGGATGGAATGAAATTTACATGTAATTGATAGAATTTACTGGACTTTGTGAGCATTTCAGTGTGGGGAATATAAGTGAGAAAATCAACTGAGGTTTCTAGCTTGAGCAGTGAATAACACCAAATGAGATAGGACTAGGTTTTGAATGAGACTAATTAATTTGCTTTTGAGATATGTTGAATCTGATGTACCTAAGATCTAAGGGATATAATTACAAAACAGGAAAAATGCTAGTCTGGAACTGTGGATGTATTGCTACCAATATATTTGAGGACCACAAGTATGTAGGTAGTTGTTAAAATCATAGGGAAGAATTCACCCAGGAAAAATATATAGAGAAGGGCTGAATGGAACCCTAAGCACTCAAAGTATGGTCTACTGCTGCTTGCCTCAGAATCATCTGGGGGAGCTGTTAAAAACAGATTCCTCAGCCAGTGTCGTGGTTCATGCCTGTAATCCCAACAGCTCTGGGAGGCCGAGGCGGGTGGATCACCTGAGGTCAGGAGTTTGAGCCCAGCTTGGCCAACATGGTGAAACCCTGTCTCTTAAAAATAAAAACAAAAAACAGATTCCTCATTGTAAATGTACTTAATGTCACAAAATTGTATACTTAAAAAAAATTATCTTTTAATTTTTTAAATCCAATTTCTGATGGGATTCCACATGTTCTGAAAAATATTTAAAAATGATTAAAATGGTAAATTTTTTATGTATATATTACAATAGAATACAAAAAAAAAAAAAAAAAAAAAAAGAAACCCAGAAAATAGATTCCTAAGCCCCATTCCAGACCTGAAGTACGAAGGTTTTGCTCAAAGGCAGGCCTAGCAAGTCCGGAAGACACCTGAAGAAACCAGGTAAGGTTGAAGGAGGGCCAGGAACTGATATATTCTAAGACTAGCCTAGTCTGATCTTTATAAATAACCCCCAAAAGCAGCCCCTTCCATAACCCATAACCTGGACCACTTTTCCTAGGCCATCTCAATCCAGATAATCCTAGCTCACAGCTCCAGAGATTCATTCTCCTAAAGATTTGTTCCAAACAATGGGGAACAGATACTGATTATTTCAATTACATGCCTTGGACATTTTAGCAAAAGCTCCTGCCTGGTTTTGAGGCTGGCTGATTGTTAAGGGGTTAAGGAGAATGAACATTAATTCTCAATATAAATCCCTTTCAATATCTCTTTCTTGGTCTTCCTGACCTCCTACCTCACTGCCTCTGAAATCTTAATCTGTTCCTTTCTTTCCCTTTTTCTTTCCTTTCTTTTTTTATTTTTTTTTATTTTTTGAGACAGTCTTGCTCTTGTCGCCCAGGCTGGAGTGCAATGGCACAATCTTGGCTCACTGCAACCTCTGCCCCCTGGGTGCAAGTAATTCTCCTGCCTCAGCCTCTTGAGTAGCTGGAATTACAGGTGCCTTCCACCATGGCTGGCTAATTTTTTTTTTTTGTATTTTTAGTAGATACGGGGTTTCGCCATGTTGGCCAGGCTGGTCTTGAACTCCTGACCTCATGATCTGCCCGCCTCAGCCTACCAAAGTGCTGGGATTACAGGTGTGAGCCATCATGCCCGGCCTCTTTCCCTTTTTCTATCAGTGATTCAGGAATTGGATGAGTCTCTGTGGTTTGTTTTGCCCTGAAGAATAGAAGGCTTCTGTCCCAACTGGTGTTGCCAAAGCAACATATTAATTCCATGCCATGATCCTGGGTCAAGATCTGCACAATCTGATTGGTCATATCACCTCGGATGGCAAGGGAGTGGAAGTGGTCAAAATCATGGAGTCCCAGCTTTCGGAGACGCCTTGCAGCTGCCCGGTAACACTTCCAGGGCTGAGGCTCCACGAGGAGGTAGCGGCAGAGGGAGGAAAGATGGGCCAGGAACTCCCACAGGCCATGGTCCCCATGGTTCAGATGAATCCACATGGTTATCGACATGCAGAAGCCAATGTCAAAAACTGAACGTCCAAATTGGCTTAAGAAAGAGCTCAAGAGAACCTTCCGGGTCCTCTGATTCATGAAATCCAGGGTGATAAAG